TATATAAATATTTCAATAGTGTATGTTAGGACGAATGTATGATTTAGTAATTAACTTTTGTTTTTTTTTTCTTTAAGCAAAAAACAGTCTAACTAAGCTTTCGATGATTCTTTTGCATTCAAAATATTTCATAGAGTCGTCAGTAGAGAAAGAGCATACATATGAATGTTATTAGTAAATGATTTTAGTGATTGCAATGAAATAACTGATGATAAAAGGAAAGAAGAAAGATTCAAACTTTCGAGTGATGTTGGAGTGTTTTAATAGGGTAGAAAATAAAAACTGAAAAGATCCCATAGAAAAAATGAACATGAGTCTAAACGGACAAGATGTGTTTAAAATCAATTGATGTTAGACAATAATCAATATGCCTGTTCGCTTAGGCTCTTCTCTAAATAAAAAACACACAAAATTTTTGAACCTTTGACCCTCTATTACTTTTACTATTTTCAAAATTATCCTATTAAAAAAACATGCGAAACAATTTACAAATTCTTCACATAACATCTTTGAGATATTAGAATCAATATATGAAAAATTCACCAATTATAAACCTTTATCGTTTTTGAGAGAATGAGTTGGAGTATTAAAAGAATAATTCGTTCGACTTCCGAGAAGCATTTTATTCAGATCTCGTTTTCTAATGATGAAATGATTTCTATGAAATAAAGCATAATCCTGTTAAATACATTTCAAAGATCTATTAGAATATTGGTCTCCCACTGAAGATTCCTGAAAAAGAGGAAAAATAGCTTTATTAATCTCTGTTCGATAGTTGCTTTAAATATAGCAAAATTTGCAAAAGTTCATGGAAAAATGTCAAACTGTTGTATTTGGACAGAAAACGATAGAAAGCTAATTCTTTTTTTGTTAGATAGAATATGGTTTCTACTTTCATAGCACAAATTTCACAGACTTCTATTCATATACTAGTAACAAAATATATTCGGTTTTTATAAGCCTAGTAAAAAGTAGGTCACAATGCTATGTAATTGCTCAAAGATCACCCACAGCTCTATCTAACAAATAAGAGTTAGTCTCTTCTCATCTTCTGTTCACTTATCATAGTCTGACACTTTTTCATGAGCTATTGCAACATCCGTTATGTTACTCTATATTGTAATAGAATTGCGGATGTCCAACAATCTACCAAAATTATTATTATCTTTACTAACCGCATCAAAATGTTGTAAAAGTCAATTGAAGTTAAACCGATTACTTTTCATCTACTTCAACTGCATGTGCCTGTTTTCTTGCAACTTAGTTCCGTTTTAAATTCTTTTTCTATATGAAAAAGAAAAATGCAAAAAGTAAAACTTGTGTCCACTATCATACATAAACTTACTATTGCTAGAATGTACATTTTACTTTTTGATAAAAAAGACGAGAGAGAGAGAGAAGGAGTGGGTGTCTAGATTACAAAAATCCGATAATTTTTGTTCATATTTTAACTCTACATAATAAATACCTCATTTTTTCCTACAAGAAAAGAAAATCTCTACTACCACCAACGCAAGGAGAACTGATTCATGTATTTTCGCATGGCATCGGCATCTCTAACAACTTCCCAATTAATCACGATATATCGATTATTCAACAAGTTTTTCTGACATAACAAACACAGACAGGGAAGATAAATCCAAAAAAAAGAAATATTTGCTTAGGAAATAGAATTAAAACAGATTATCTATTACCAGAGAAGTTATTGCAGCTCGATTCGGTCGTGATTGTAAGCTTCAATGAATACGTTTTTCTGATCATACCAATTGAATTACAAATATCTCATAAGTTTCTTAGAAAAATGAAGAGCTCATTTTCAATTAAATCAATGTTTATGTCTACTCCATACTTTTGTTTCATTTTAGTACCATTACGTGCAAGTACAGTTGACATTCATCCGAATGCAACATGGTCAACCAATAGCATTGCTGTTGTTGAAGGAAACGGACAAGGTAGTGGAACCAATCAACTCCATTACCCATGTGGTTTATACGTCGATGAAGATCTAACAATCTATGTCGCTGATAACTATAATCATCGCATTGTTGAATGGAAATCTGGTGCAACGAATGGAAAAGTGGTTGCTGGTGGAAATGGAGATCATCAATTAAATGGCCCAACAGATGTGATTATTGACAAAGAGAGCGATAATCTCATCATCTCCGATTACGAGAATAAAAGAGTTGTTCGTTGGCCTCGTCGAAATGGTACTCGTGGAGAAACAATTATTGCAAATATTGCTTGCTATGGTTTGACAATGGTTGTCTCTATGTCGTTGACGCAGGAAAACATGAAGTAAGACAATATAAAGTTGGTGATACTCAAGAAACAGTGATTGCAGGTGGCAATGGAGAAGGAAACGGTCTCGATCAACTCTCTTTACCCCACTACGTATTTGTTGGTCGAGATCATTCAGTTTATGTGGCTGATTATCAAAATCATCGTGTCATGGAATGAGAAGAAGGTGCAAAGCAAGATATTGTCGTAGCCAGTGGTCAAGAACAAGGAAATAATCTTAAACAATTAGATCATCCTAAAGGAGTCGTTGTCGATCAATTGGATACTGTCTATGTGACTGACGCCGGTGATAATCGAATCATCCGTTGGCCAAAATTAGCCACACAAGAAACTGTCATTATTGGTGGAAATGATGAAGGAGCACAGTCGAATCAAATCTGGAATCCCATAGGTTTAACGTTCGATCTACATGGCAATCTCTATGTCGTCGAATACTGGAATAATCGAGTACAAAAATTTAATACCTCATAAATTGAGTTCGTATGATTAATTTTTTTGTTTCGTTCTCTCTCTTCTCTTTCAAATAAATCGTACGAGAACGTGAAAATGCATTGAAAGCAATTCTATTCTCGCACGCACGCGCACGACCAGAAACGACTCTGGTGTGCCTATTCCGACATTTCATATGTTCATACGATAAAATAGAAATTTTTCATGCATTTCACTTTCATACATTCTTTCAAGTTTCTTTTAATTTATGATAATGTTTCATGTCTGAGTAATGCAAAAATAGGAGTGCATAAACATTTACTTTTTTTTCCTAGTAAGAAGAAAAAAGAACAGATACGCGTTTTTTTTTCATTTATTTGTCAGCAAGGAAAGAAGAAAACAAGTATAAGTTTATTTGGTATTGTACAACTACACATGCACGTAAGCTTAGAAGTATGGTAGGCTTAAAGTAGCATTTTTTTTGCATTGAAATCATGTCAATATCAAAGCTTGAATCACTTCC